GTACTTAGTGTCTAATGTATTTTTGTTGTCCATTCATACAAGAGATATTCTGCAGCTGGTTAATCTAGCTTCAAGTAATCAACAGTTGATTTGGACTTAAGTTTTTCATTGGCAACCAATCATTTCTCTTCCTCCATCCTTCACACATCTAGATCCCATCTCTATTGGTGTCTTATTACTACTTCCTTGCTGCTACAAGTCCTTGGCTGGATATCCTTTATTGACTTGTCCCAAACACAAAGATTATTTCTCTCTTTCCATAATCAAACCCTTTATTTCTCAAAGCTGACTTCAGTTTATTAAATGTTAGCTGTAAGAAAGCAAATGCTATATGCCATTTGGGACAACTGCATGAACGAACGTCTAACAGAACCATAACCTTTTCGATATACTCATTTCAGAAAAAAAATACCTATTAATCCAAATGAATTCATAAATTTTGGGAGGTTTAAAGAAGGAAAGAAAAAATGTAGGCAATAGAAAGAAATTATTTCAAGTGACAGAAAGTAAGCCCTGTACAGACAGCATAGGTCAGTCTGATTATTTCTGCTAACTAGTTCTTATTTATAATTCTAATAAATAATAGTAGCTGCCATTTATTGGGTATGTATCATATGTCAGGTATTTTACATGTCATCTCATTTAACCCATGAATCATATAACTCTGTAATACAGAAATTCACTCCATTTTGCTGATGAGAGGTACATCAGTTTTAGCTCCGGATAATCAATTTTTATCCTTAACCCCATGCACTAACCATCAAGACATGCTAGGGCTTTAGCAAAGTTAAAAAAAAAACAAAAACAAAAACAAAAGGCACCTATTATAGTATTTAACAAAAAGGAATATATTATTTCCTAACTAGGCTGGGTAACAGAATTTTCTCTATAAATCTAGTTTTACAACAAATGATAAAACTTAACACTAATTCACAGTATTGTTGTACCTCTCGAGTGGTAGTAAATATCCATGCAACACACTTCCATCTGCAAAACCTTACATCCATTAAAATAAAAAAAAAATTAAAAAAAGGTGCTCATCATTTATGATAAATGAGAGTGGGGGGGACAGGCTAAGTTCACCACTCTGTTAGGGTTTTTTTGGTCAGTTAAAGAATGAAAGAATGCAACTGTCTTAATTTTGTTTTTTTCTTTGGCTAAGTCTTCATTAATGAAACTAAGGCTGCTTCCTCTTTACCTTAAGAATAACCTTGTACAAGATGAACAAAGCCATTATCGACATTCTTAGTTGATAAATACTATCAATGACTTTCATTCACAATTACTTAAAACAAAAATACTCCTACCAATTACAAATGAAACAAATAACTTCATAGAGTTAAAGCTCAATAATACATGAGGTACTTTGTCAGGTAACATTTAATTTCTTATCTACAAGGAAATTTCACTTTGTATCATGTTAATTCATTCTCAGTAAAGAAAACTGACAAGTAAAATGTCATCCCTAAAATATCCTTGGTTTACACAGCACTGAATGCTAGCAGATCACCATTCCCAGGGATCTACTTAAGTGCCAGTAGTCCAGATTGTTCAAAACGATAATACTAGACACAGATGTGAAGATGACAGTCAGTCTGCCTTTAAAGTTCTGGCTATGTTGCTTCCTCACAGTTCTAAATAGTACAAATTGGCAATTAGAACACAGGTTCTGCTTCAGAATTGGAACTTGGCCAAGATTACTAGAATTTTTTATAGGCAGGTTAAACCAGCAACGTTAAAAATTATGTGAAAAGAAACAAACACAAGTACTGATTAAGTTTATACTATGCAGCCCTGAGCGCTTTCATGCTATTTTTCACAGCTGTAAATACCAAATATGAAAAATAGTAAACATTTATAAATAAACTTATCATTTCAAAACACCCAACAGGCATTTTGGTCGGGCTGTAGTAAAAAGTAACGATTCCACAAAGACTGTCCATTATTCCGGTATACCACACGCAGAAAAATGGTCACGTTTTTTTCCAATTACATCCAAAGCTTAGGAAGAACTACTTAAAACTCACTGATGGTTCACTCTCTTCAGAAACTCACTAGCAGTCGTTGGAAGGCAAATACAACACATTCAAGAACGTCAACAGTATTCTCTGCCATTAAAGAGCTATATAGGTTCAGTGCGCTAAATGAATATATATAATAAATTCAGATACGACACAACACAGCCGGTGACATTGAAACGTAATCTCTTCAAGCACTGTCGATGTAATTTACAACGTATATATCAAGAGCTATGTACAAATCGGTGGGCTGCGACCTTAAAGAAACCTCCACTCTCTATGCAACTTGTACCAGTTTAGAAATGGATCGGAAAACCACGAAATGGTAATTTGTTGGCTCGAAAGAAGTAACTAGTACTCCTAAGTGTTAGGTAAAAAAAGAACACAAAGCTCGTCCTGAGCCGGCCTGCTAGAAGGAGTCTAGCCCGACCCCATTCAGCGTAAAAACACAAGCCTAGAAACGTCTTCAATTTTAAGGACTGGAGGACAAAATCCCTGAAGCGGGCACTGGAGTGGGGGTGCCCTCTTGAACCGGGGTCGGCGAAGGCGGGCGTGTGGGCGGAGAAGCAAAGCAAAGGCTGGGTGCGGGGGCGCCAGCAGCGTCACTATAGCGATGAGAGGTAGCGAGCTTCATCACGGGGCTGGAGAAGGGGCAGTGGGCTACACAGAGCCAAACAGAGGGACACGTCGCCCCGGAAGACGCGAGCAGGAGTCATGGAGCCGGGGACCAGGAGGCTGCTTCCCTGAGGGCTCTCAGCATGAGTGGGGGAGGGGGGGTGGGTACTCACTTCAATAATCTTCTCCTTCTTTTTCTGCTCCGCCTTTTTGCTGCCCCCGGCCTGAGCCTGTTTCTTGGGGGGCATTGCGGAGAGAGGTGGCACCGGCCAGACTTAAGCGCAGCTGGACACCGTCAGGGGATCTGGCCCCGCGGCAGGAGGAAGAGGACACGGGCCTCCGTCGCCGCCGCACCGCACGGAAAGCGAGGCGCTCACTCACCACAGAAACGCGGCCTTTGCGACAGGTCGGTGCCGCAGAGCATGGTGGGTAGCGAGGAGCGGAGCCCGGAAGTGGAGCTGCGCGTGCGCTTGTGCCGCGGCAGGCCTGGAGGGGGCAGGGAAGGGACGTGGGAAAATGACTTGGCGTCACTTGTGATGTCGCTCATCCACCTGGCTCTCTAGGTTGTGGCAGGCCTCAGGATCAGTGGGGCGAGCTGGTTGGTGCCGGCTGCGCTTGGGTCCTTCCTTCGCGTTCTTTTTCGCTGAAGATGGGAGATTCTTTTATCCTGCTTGCTCGGTTAATGGTCGCCCTTACTGTCTCTATCCTGAATGATCACCGAGCAGCCACCAAAACTCAGGGCCAAACTATGCAGTTACTTTCTTCTCGTGCACAGATGGAACAGGGCCAGTCGGCCGGCCAGCACAGCATGCTTCAGGTTCCTGTGAAGGTTTATAAAGAAATGAAAAAGTTTTATTTGAAGGGCGCCAGGAGTAACCTCCCAGAGAAGGGGAACTTGAAATCTTTTGATGTCCAATACTTATCAAGTTATTTTCAGATTTTAGGAAAGTTGCCTAGATGAAACCTAAAAACCCAAATTTAATGTGAAATTAACCAAACATAGTTTGTGTGTGAAGAGCACATCTCAACAGGTTTCATGAAGTGCTTGAAAGTCTGGGAACTATGGGAACACTGCACACATTATTTTATTTAGTTATTACAAGGACTTTGAGGTAGGAATTGTTACTATTTGCATTTTATAGATGAAGTACAGAAAGGAAGGCACATGCCCAAGGTCATAGTAAAGGCTGAGACAGGGATTTAAACTCTGAAGTCTAAATTCCTATCACTAACATTACAAAAGTGGTCTTGTTTGAAAAAATACTTGAATGAGTGATTGGTGCCCATTAATATTTATATAAACCAAAATGCTATTTTTTTAAAAATATATAATGCTTGGCTGTTATTGTTCCATGATTATTAAACTGTTTTTGTTAGGAAGTATTGTCGTGCCAGGAGTCATCTTTATAAACAAAGGTTTTAAATCTCTTTGTGGTGCCTGGGTGGCTCAGTCGGTTAAGCATCCAAGTTCAGCTCAAGTCATGTTCCCACGGTTGGGGTTGGTTGATGGGTGAGTTCCAGCCCTGCATCATGCTCTCTGCTGTCAGCGAAGAGCCCACTTCAGATCCATTGTCTCCCTCTCTCTCTGCTCCTCCCCTGCTCTTGCTCACGAGTGTACTCTCTCTCTCTCAAAACTAAAACTAAAGCATTAAAAAATTAAAATCTTTTCCATTAATTTCCATAAGAAGAGAACTAGGAATCTCCTTACTTAGTGCAATTGATTATTTGAATAGTAGCTTTCTATGTTAAGATAGATAATGTTGAAGTGTGTATATACAGAGCTTCCTGAACTTATGGTTATGTCCTGATAAACCCATGGTAAGTTGAAAATATCGTCTAAGTTGAAATGCACATAATGTATTTAATCTCCTGATCATTATAGCTTAGCCTAGCCTACCTTAAACGTGCTCAGGGCACTTACATTAGCTTACAGTTGGGCAAAATCATCTAATGCAAAGCCTATTTTATAATAAACTATTGAATAGCTCATGCGATCTATTGAATGTTGTACTGAAAGCATAAAAACAGAATGGCGTGATCATGTGGCTGACCAGGAGCTGTGGCTGCTGCTTCTTCCTAGCTTCAGAAGAGAGTATCTTATCACATAAACGCCTGGGAAAAGATCAAAACTGAAAATTTGAAGTATGGTTTCTGCTGAATGCATATCAGTCTTGTATTATTGTAAAGTCAAAAAAATTGTAAGTGAAACCATCATAAGTTGGGGACTGTCTGTGTATACACTCATGAAATTTACTTCATCTGGTCTCCTGTCTCAGGTTGATGGACTATGCTGTCTTTTACTTACTTATTTACTTCCTTGTTTATCTTTTGTTCTTGTAGTTGTTCTTAGAGCACAGAGGGACCCAGCCTGCTTCCCCCTTTATTCAGTGTTATAATCAGTTTGATTGTTTGGAGATCCTCTCCTTTAAGACTTCCTGTAGGGGTGGAATGTAGTTGCCTTAATTTATTCTTTTTTTTTTTTTTTTTTTTTTTTTTTTTTTTTTTTAGTGCTTTCAAAGATACACTTTGGGTCCTTTGTTTTTTGAAGAATTTTTACTGGCAATCATGAAACTAATGAATAATAATAAGTAACAAGTATAGGGAAAATACAAAGAATCTAGAATCTCATAAATTATAACAGTCGCCCCAGGCTCATAATTCTGTTTTTTTTAAAAATGTTTATTATTTTAGAGAGACAGACAGAGCATGAGCAGGGGAGGGGCAGAGAGAGAGGGAGACACAGAATCTGAAGCAGGCTCTAAGCTCTGTCAGCACAGAGCCCAATGCAGGGCTCAAACCCATGAACTGTGAGATCTTGACCTGAGCCGCAGTCGGACCCTTAACCGACTGAGCCACGCAGGCGCCCCCAGGCTCATAATTCTTATTATACCTTCTGCCTATAGCCTTTGCTTTTGTTTTTGCCCTGAAGTTGTGATATGTAGAGAAAAAAGATCCTTCCTGGCCTCAGGTGGAAATATATACATTTCTAAATGTGGTGTCTTCTCTGATAGTTCTCTCCCTTTCATAGTTATTTCTTCATAGATTAGAAATAAGTCTCAGTCATTGAATTCACTATTTTCTGAAATAAGGTAATTCTTGTTTGCGGTCTATAATAGAAAATGGCATTAGGAGTAGGGATGACCTTCTACTCTACTTCTTCATAATTCAAAGTGAACGTCCACTAAATGAAGTTTGATGTTGTAGTCTGGGGTTACAAATTCAAATGCCCAGAAGGCAGGGATATAAACTTGGGTGTCAAGATGAGTGAAATACATTAGGGAATAGTGGGACCAGTACCAAACCTGAAGTAAATGCCCACCATAAAAGAGCTCAAAAAAAAGATGCAAAAAATGTCTGGCTGATTTGAGGGACAGGCTGCGAATTTACTGCCTTAGATACCATTCCCAAAACTACATCTTTAGAAGACATCAGAATGTATTTTTCAAATCTGAGTCACTAGGCTCTAGGAGATTTGGTATTGAAGTAGAATTTTTTTTCTTTTTTTCCTTTTTTTTTTTTTGCTACCCAACATCCAAAGGTCCTTTCTGACCATAGTTGATAATACTGTTTTGTATACTTGAAAGTTGCTGAGAGAGTAGTTGATCTTAAAAGGTCTCTCACACATACAAAAGAAGTAACTATGTGAGGTGAGATGAATGTGTTAACTAATTTTATAGTAGTAATCACTTTACAGTGTATGCATAAATCATGTTGTACACCTTAAACTTACACAGTGTTATATGTTACTTGTATCAATAAAAATGGGGGAAGAAAGAGAAAGGGGTAGAGATCCAAGATCGAAAACAAAGCAAAGGTCCTCCCTGTGTGTGTATGTGTGAGCGAGAAATTCCCCATTACATTAAAATTCCTACTTTACCAGCTAAAGGGGGCAAGTTTTTCCTTTTCCCTTATCTCAACCAAATCCTAGATACATAATTTAGAGTTAGGCAGATTCTTCCTGTTATCTCCTACCTATGCGTAAGGCTTTTGCTCTCAAAGGAATGAAACAAGACTCTGGAAGCGTTGAGGAGTTCGTTTTGTTTTGTTTCTTTTTGAATGATACTCACTTTTATTTTGGTATAATTTCATACAAATAGAGTTATAATTTGCACTGATCCTCAAATTGTCCCATATTGGCCCATTGGCAGGTTTTGAAAGTTACCCCCGAGCCATTTTGACACAACCCTTGTTTCATAACTATAAAATAATTACATGGCTCTAAAAGCAAAGCTACAAAAGATGTTATATTTGACAAACTCTAGCTTATATCCCTCCCCTCTGACCCATTTCCTTTCTTCCCCTAAAGAGCATTAAATGTATTACAAGTCCAGTGGTGGTAGGCCAGTGGCAGCATCTGTACTAGACTTTAATTGCATTCTTTGCTATTATCTCTTGCTGCTTTTGTTTTCCTAGCCTAGTTTCTAGGCTTCCCAAGATTCTGATTTACTAAGATTTCCAGGATTCCTTAAATTCTGTGAGCAATCTTTCCAATAAATTCCCTTTTGACTTAAGTTAGACTTGATTTTAGTTGTCCGCAACTAAGGACTCTGTCGTGGGATGAATTATACCCCCTTTATTCATATGTTAAAAACACTAATCTCAGCACCTCAGAATGTGACTGTATTTGGAGCTAGGGCTTTTAAAGATCCGATTAAGTTAAAATGAGGCTATTAGTGTTGGCTCTAAACCAATCTAACTGGTATTCTTATAAGATGAGGAAATTTGAACACACAAAGAGGTATTAGAAATGCCTACACTCAAAGAAAATACCACATGTCCACAGCAAGAAAACAGCCATCTGTAAGCCAAGGAAAGAGGCCTCAGAAGAAACCAATACCTTGATCTTGGACTTGTAGCCTATAGAGTCATAAGAATCTAAATTTCTGTTGTTTAAGCCATCCAGTCTGTAATATTTTGTTATGGCAGCTCTAGCAAATAGACCCGGACTGATAAAGGACCGATCTATGCTGTGGCTGTTGCTCTGATGGTGAGCAGAGACAGGACTGCTAGCTTTTCTAAATAAAGTCTTGTCATAGAGACAAGACTAATCTGGACATGTAAGTTACCGATGCATTTTATGAGTTGAGGCAGTACATATTAGAAAGTATTTTGATTTAAGTGTTGGATTCTTCAAAAAGCTTCTGACATGTAGGCAGTTTCCTTTAAGACATTTTTTTCTCTCCAAAATAATAAACTATTACAAAAGATTTGCTAATGTTTCAATAGAGCATGTAAAATCTCTTTCAACTTGTCAGTTTGAGTTTCAATTCTGTAAACTTTCACTTCAACCTACACTGACATAAAATTTTCTTAAATGGGTGACTTGTGTGGGTGACTTATCTGTTGCTATTTGAAATATTCCTTGGTGTCATTCTG